GATTGCTCGTTTAAAATCGGACGTAAGCGAGCGCGTACGATTGCCGTAAACGCACGTCTTTCCGGGTGAGAAGGAGACGCTCTCTCGCAGAGCCCACACCGCTTTCTCGCGGATTCCACCATCGCTTGATTTACGAGAATGTGGTTTCCGGCAGAAGATAGAAAATCGCGCATAACCTCTTTCACGATAACGCGTTTCCCAGGTCGTGCCTCTACGAGGTGATTAATAACGCTTTCTTTGGGAATGCACGGTTTTTGATTGTTCAATTTCTTCCTGCGCTGCTGTCGCTCATGCACCCCCTGCCTCTCGTTCTAGGGTGGATTACTCAATTAACTCTTTTGTTCCCGTTCATTTTTTTTATTTCTTTTTTTCGTTACATCCTAGACCGGGGATGTTCATCCCATCTTCGTTGAATTTCGCCGCTCCCCCTAATGCCCCTCGTCATCCTCTTTCACCATTCGTGATATCTCTTTGTGAACTTCTATTAGCGGTTTGTATTTCGAGCAGATGTTGCCGGGTACAATGTCTTTCTACACAGGCTAGCCAGTTTCGGCTTACCGGCGGCATTGTGCATCGCCGAGGTATAAAAGATTGAGGTAGGGCCTTTCGAGCCCTCAGCAACGACGCCGTTAGCAAGAAAACGTGTTTACTCTATTTGGGACGAGGCGCTATCTTAAGGGGATTTAGAGGAGCGAGTCGAAATCTCATAGGAAGACACAGACGCAGGCCTCATCGACGGAATCGTTTTGTAATAAATCTGCGCGATCGCGGACGTATTGTTGCGACACCGGTGACAGCATTATTACGTCGCATTGTCCGTAAAGCGTCGTAATTATACGGCGACATAAATTACCCGCTATCGTAAAGCTAATGATGTCCCATTAAAGTGCTACAGCGTGAAAACTGCGCGCTCGAAATTCACGGTGGGCTGTAAACATTTTTACGGTGTCCATCCGCGCCGCGGACGTCGCTCGCGCGACCAAAGGAACACCGAGAGAGAGAGAGAGAGAGAGAGAGAGAGAGAGAGAGAGAGAGAGAGAGAGAGAGAGAGAGAGAG